TATAAAAAAAAAAAAAAAAAAGAAAGAAAAGACTAGAGAACACTCAAAATAGAAAAAAGAAAAAAAAAAGCGTGTGCACCGGGCACACAACGTCGACGACGTGAATTCGGATCGATTAAGCGGCGATTAATCGAACATTTGTTCACCGGTCGTCCGGCGCCGACGCTGGCCGACATTCGTCGACCCGTAATTAAACGAGAAGCACGTACGTATAAACGATTATATTATATGGAATACATTGTGTAATAAAGCTGTTGTCATTTTTTTGTACTTATACTTCTTTCGACTGAATTTTTGATTTTTCGACGAGTTTTTCCGCGGCTGCGTCTCAAAATGTACCGCCTTCAATCTTCCATGTTTCATTCTTGTCTGCTCTTTTGTCCATCCGTCTCTTCACCATAAGCCTATCAAAAAGTGATCCTGCTTCTATCTTTTCTCTCGTATCGTAGATTCGTCCCTTTTTTCCGTTAGCAAATTTCCTTCTTCTACTTATATATTTGAAGTATTTTTGTTCTTATTCTTCGTTCGACGAGAGCAGAGAAGGAACGCATACTATTGTACCGTGTAAAGAGATTCCTAACTTGTCCGTCATTCTCTGTCACCTGTGTAAAAAAAAAAAGAAAAAGTAACGTTATAATATAAGGAGAGACGTATTACACACGTTGCGGAGATTTGTGTATATTTGTAGCAGAAAATTGTACAATTGATCAAGATCACGATTTTGCGATTATTATTACTATTTTTATTATTAATTAATTAATTGATTATTTTATTATAATTATCGCCAACGTGTACATAGAGGAAAGAATTGTCAATATGATCGTCACGCGAGTGACAGCAAACGATTAATAATGATACATTAAAAACGAATCTGTCTCTTACATTTACACCCTTTACCACTTTGCATCTATTTCCTATGGCATTTCAAAAGAGCAATACCTAAAAATTCAATGTTACTCGGAACTACTGCTTGAACCCTTCAAGTAATAAAAAACACAGTAAATATCTTTGATTAACGAACGCGCGGCATAATAATGCAACCCATTGAGAAAGCTACACGCTAATACACTGTATAAACATATGCAGTATGTAAAAATAACGAGAAGAACTGAACCACGTTCCAAGAGTTACGCAATGCATGCTGAATCCTTAAAGGACGATCGCGAGCTCGCTATTTCCGCGGAGGGCCCCACTTAAGAAGGCAAGGCACGGATGCATCGCGACAAAGTAGCCGCGAACGTGGCCCTGCTTGTGGGAAGATGGCAGAGAAACAACCGGTGGAGAAACGGAGAGCGAGAGCGAGCGAAAACGAGAAAGAAAGCTCCGGCCTCGGTGGAGGAAGTCGCATCTTCTTGGAATGACATCAGATTGCTCTGATAAGGGGACAACGATTTTATGTAACCCCGATCGAGCACACCGTCTGTGTATATACGTATGTATATACAGTTTCCATTAGAATTCAGGGAATCACGGCAATCGTTCTGCTGTTGGAATAAATGGATTCGACAGCAACCGTCAACCTTGTGGCCGTTTCTATGGGAAAGTGATAAGTATACGGATGAGCATGATTTGAATTCTAGAGATTCACCGAGAATTAACGACACCGATACGTTTCAATGTATGCTGGAATTGCTTCTTCTTTCCTATTTTGCTGTTATTTCTATTTGCTTGTTATCTTTTAAATGATTCATCGTTTAAACGTTCGTATAAAGATTGACTTATATGAAAAGAATTCCCCTTCAACCTCTGAAATGAAAAAACTTGACTTTATGAATATCGCTGGAATAATTCCGATTGGTGAATAAAGGTTCGATTCCTACAGTGATTTGTGACGTACTTACGAACGTGGAAATTGCTATATAAATTCCACTTCCTATTTTCTCTTCTTCGAGATGCCTATAATAATAATGCGAATTCGCACAGTACATACAAATAATCCAATCCGATGTTATCATCGAATATTAATTGCTGTTTTGTTATTGATTCATTCCGGCGGTAATACATGGGAAATATAAAATACCTGCATATTCATAAAACGACAATGAATATTTATGATCACGTTATTAGATTTTACCTGCTTGCTATTATTATCTCTCACGCATAAATTATTGATTTCAAAGAGGCAGCAGAGGAAGAGATTAACGAGCATCTCGTCGCTGTAAAAACGCAAAACGTTGAAATTCTAAAATAATAAAATTCGTTATTTTCTCTTCCTTCAATTATCTATAAATAACATTAATTAAAAATAGCGTTAATTATACTTAGCCTGTGAATAATAATGGCGGGTATTAAGACCAACCCAGAAGATCATTACGTTCAGTTCGATTAATCCATTAAAGTCTAAACGGAGGAATAATGCATAAAACGTTGCAACATCGTCGAGAGGTATAACACGATTCACAGCAGTCCGTCACATAAATCAGAAATATAGTTTATAGTTGCAATTATATTACGTAATTTTTTTCAACATGCTCCGTCGATTAAAAGCCGTTAATTGAGACAGTGCTGATTCTCGATAGATCAAACGGATTTTAGTCGACTCGAATTTCGAGTAATCGAATCTATCGAACACCCGCGCCATTAATTCTCATACAAGATGTCGACAAGAACAGGGACGCGATTGCACGGAGCACGGTCTCGGAAGATATTATACGTGGTATATATATATATATATACGATATAAGCAGAAGCCGAGGAACCTCGTGAAAGTCGTCGAAGTAACATCGTGGCCAAGCTACCCACGACTCATCGTGTCGTTATATACGCGCCGGTTATTACCTGCAGCTTCGCCGCTGCAAACCCATTACGACTGCCGTAGCATTCTTCGTGTCTATGCCTACCTCGTCTCCCCACTTCTCCACAGCCGACAGCCCATCTCATTCTTTTCCACCTTTCCCCTCTAGTTAATTAACATTTTTGCCCGTGCATTTTTCGCCGGGTTATTCCCTTTCATCGAAAAGAAATTTTCCGGTCGTGCGTTCGCGCAATCGACGTTATTAGGAATCGAGGAGATATTTACGTACGCTTCGGTGTGTAAACTACACAAGTGTATGGAAACGTTCGTTCGTTGTAATAACGACGGAATTGCCGTTTTTAAGGAATGTTCTTATACAAAGATTCAGAAGAAAGGAAAAAAGCAGTAAGTATAATTGTAACTTCTACGCACAGTTTTTTTTTAGGTTAGTTTTCAAAACTTTACCTTTAACGTGACCACCTCTTGCGCTACAATGACGTGCCACGCGCGTTGAGAATGCACATTCACATTTTAAGTATATTTAAGTATAGGCAAAACAAATAATAAATTTATCACTTCTTAACTTCTACCCAGTGATACCATACCGACGAATTCAAAAGAAAAAGAAAATGACGAATTGTATGTATACGTTTTGGTCACTCGTTATGGTCTGCAATTAATTGCCAACGCAAGTGGTTAAATTTTCTATAAAATTCGCAGTATAGTCACGACAATAATGCCCCATTTTTTTTTTTTTCTAGTAATAACGGAGTTTCAAACGTACACAGTGCACAAAATATTTTGTACGACAAATTGATCGAGTACTTTGCCAACGATTGAAAATCACTTTAGCAGAGTTTTACCATATCGTCGCGTCATCTGTGATTACTGTTGTAACATCATCGTGAGATTTCGTTCGAAGGTTATGTCGGGGTGATCGATCGTTCGATCGAGGTTTATTGATTTCTTATTTAGAATTGAGGTTGTGAAAAGAAGAGGATATCGATTCGTCGTCTTAGCCTATCCGATTGGTTTTAGATCGGCGCAACGTTGACAGAGAGTATCGTTCGAGATTTGTGTCGATGATCGATTGATCCTCGATTTGGAACGCGATAGACAAACACCATGTGGAACAAGTTCGAAGAAGTTTTCACCGTTCTGTACGCGATGGTATATCTAGTTGAATCTGGGAAAGCCAACGGGGCGAAAGCGTTGAATGGTCGGAAGGCTCGACGAAATCTGTCGCAATCGATCAGAGATAGGATTGAACGTGGCCCGTCGCGATTTCGTTGCACTCCAACGAGCCCGAAATTCTCCCGTCGGCGTGACGACGGCTCGACGTTAAGTTTCACCCCAGGAAATTTGGCGCCTTTTCTCGTCGTATTGACGATAATTGGATCCGATGGGCTGAAAAATTGTTTTCATTCGTCGATCGAAAAGAAGTTCTCACTTGTCGTAAACTGTATAAATATACAACATTATTACGAATTATAAGAACTTCGAAATCAATTTGTGTAAATCGTATCCATTCGAATGGGATTTCAGTTTGGCTAATTAACTGAAGTTGATTGAATCTACTAGCCAAAACAATCAAGAAACATCCAAGTACTAAATTAACCAAAATATCACTAGTCTTTAATTAAAAACTATTTCTATAGTAGCAAGTAACTTACTGGCATTGAATTAATGACGCAACATTTTCATACATTAAATATTTGTAAAAGAAACCGCTTGAAAACTAAATTCAACAATTTTCTTGCAGATGTAACTACGATTTATACCAGACGTGTGGAATTGCATGCAGCTAAGAGATGCACACTTGCAGGCGCACACGTACGTATATGTACGCGCATATATACCTCGACGTCGTCTTTCGAGAGACTTTCACTTGCCCTCCGGTTCGGTGTATCGGCGTGCAGAGTTTACAGCCACGTGAGACGGCGTTAAAGATCTTCTTCCTCCTCCCCCCTTCCATTTTTTTTTTTCTCGAGCTTGATCCGCTTCTTCCTCGAGATATATCGTGGTGAATCGAGCTCATATACAAACCACGGTTCGTCGCTTTTCCACGTACACTCCATAAAAATTTCCTCCGTCCTGAATAGATTCGTTTCTCCTCCTTTCGGTAACACGTTCGTTAATTGACGACGCAGTATCGCAGTGGCGCCTAAGAGAAACGCGTAACTTGTTATTCCTCAATTAGCAATTATTAGCACTCGTGCAATCACATTCACTTAAATTTTGTTACTTGCAGACTTTGTTTCTGAAGAGAAGAGAATGAATATAGACACAATGGACTGACATCAAAATTCAACAATACGTTCTTACGTTAGTTTCATCTTCAATCTCGACTTCTTTTTTTTAACAAGCAAAACAATGTTGAGAAGTAGGTATTTAATATATTCAATTTAAATAGATTTGAATATACAACTCTTTTTATAGTTTTGTTGAAGAAACTTCCGACGAACAGAGAAGAACGTACCGATGGAAAATGAACTGAAGAAGCAGCCCAAGGTTAAATGTCGATTCCAGTGTCATACTACCGTTAAGGTTAGATTATCGGTAATAACGGTAGAAAGAAGAGGCTGAATCTTTATATTGGGCTCAATCGGACAAAGCTTGACTAAAAATCTCGCCGAAAACATCAGCGACCGCTTCCGGCCGGTTCCAGGTTCTCTTTCCAGGTGCGCTGCGACGTTGCACCTCAGTGCACCGGGTCAAACGAGAGCGTTCGGTGAAGGAAGAGGACAGCTCTCGCGAGGGGAGGATGCGCGGAGAGGCGGTTCCGGCGAAAAAAATTAATTGGGCGGATGTAATCCGATCGATTCCCACGATTCGACTATGCGCCGCCTTTTATACACGATGTACGTACGAATCGATCCGGTCCATTATCGTCGATAACCGGTGCACCGTTCGCTATATGCTTCTGTCGGTTCTTTTCAGAAACGGCCGATTACTCCTTTTCGATGGTCGACGGACGTCCGCGCCTCGCAGGATTTTGTGTTTCGTACACGGCTGGAATTAGGGAGCGGTTACAGGTTACAGACACTGTGTATCATCTCTTTTCGCTCTCGTTTCTTTTCCCGGCCGGTAATGGATTATAATAACGGTGTGTGCTCTCTTGTTTCCTGCGAAATACACGCTCGTACCATTTCCAAAATCTTCCCTCCCGTCTGTTTGAAAATTTCTTTAACATTTGTAACGGAACATGACTCTCGTAACAGAATATTCTTTCTTAATCGCACTGTATATAATTCATTACGCGTTGGTTCCACTGTTCACCCTGTTGAAATTTAAACGATAAGTTTTTCTACGTTGTCAGATTGATCTTCGCGGTTCTTTTTCGAGCGACATTTTTCACGAGCGGAAATTCGTTCGAATTACCCGACAGAAGCTAAATGAACGCCTATACACGTAAATCGTCTATCGCTTTCCCATTTCTAAACCCGCCGATGCGGGCATCGATTCGACCCTAATAACCGGAATAATTCCAGCCACCTCGTGAAAGCGACCGCTTAATGCACCTATTTATCGGGCTGATTCTTTTTCTCTCTCTTTTTTTTTTTTTTACTAATCAAAAACCAGCTGATCCAACACGAATCATTTGCATCGTGTTAAAAATGTAAACGTAATTGTGTGCACGTGGTTAATTAATTAATACGGTATCGTCCAAGTATCATACACTGTGGATAATTAGAGACGCATGTTTCTTTGTCGCGCAATAAATACTGATCCGTCGGCACGTCCCGACAGGGATACTCACATGGCGCCAATACGAGCTTCGCGAGCTTAATTATAGTCACCCGATTAGAATGCACCGGCAGAAGAACCGTGGTCGTTCGAGGTACAAGTGCAATCTTTCCTTTTGCGTTCGTGTCTCTGGCTGCGATTCTAATTGTAAGTGTGATTTCTCAGTTTTTGCAGCGTCGTTGATGAAATAAGAATCGCATCGGGATCGACACAGAGCAATATAAGTGACATTGATCTTTACGTAGAAAATTGAAACCACGTACGTATCAATATACTGTATTTAGTTAAATTCTAACATTTTTCTGTCATTCTGATCATGTAAATTTTTTTATTCGACACTTTGTTTTGTCAAATATCTTCGCTCAGTTTTCTTATTCTTTTGCAGACATTTAGGAAGAACGACATCTAAACATTTTCGATTTGAACTTCAGGCAATTCTCAAATGGACCACTTGAGGACCGCAAAAATTTTACAAACATATTTACAAGTACTGCGATTATATTTTTATTAACATAGCTATATTTATTTTATAATTGTACAGTTATTTTATCTTTCTGAACTCAAATAATAAAAGTAAAAATTCTATTAAATATTTATGTACAACTTGTGCTTTTTTCAGGAAAATTTTCCAACTGACAAGTTGTCCAATTCCGGCAAACGTAACGTTCTTTCAACAGCCCGGACGATTCTATCCTCCACTCACTCCGTTCCATTCCGTTCGATTCATTCTGACATTTGGAGCTCCCCTGCTTTATACACACCTTCGCACGCAGGTATGCAGAAGTATGCCTCCTCCTACACCTTCTCTGTAAGCTGCATGCCCTCCTCTTTCGTGTCGTACGTTTAAGTGATCGAACCTTAACGGTCTACCGGCGCCGCGGCCGGCTTTACCTAGATTCTAAGCGTACGTACAAGTACACTTGGAACAGCGCCGACAGAGAACGACGATGAGAGAGCGACGGAAAGGGGAAGAGGATACTACCGGCAAGGGTCAACTCTTCGGGACCTCCGACGCTCACTTCTTTTCGTCGGCAGGATGTGCGCGCACGCGGTTGATATCCTTTGACCTTACCGGTACTTAAACGCGAGAATTCCGATTCGATTTTGTCGCGCGTTTTCGTACCGTTTCGCGCCACTTTATGAATTTCCTTTCTTTTCTGTCCATTATTCAGTAGATGGAAATTATTATTAAAATTATTGCAAATACATAAAGTTCTATCCAGAATCAGCCTAATTTTGATCTCTGACTCGAGGTGCAAGCACGTACAGTTAATACATAAAAACAGTAGTTAACATTTTTCTAGTTTGTTCAGATTAAAAGAAAATAGTTGAAAGTAAATGAAAATTGGTACTATAAAGAGAAACATATGTTTTTGTCACTTAGAGATATATTCTTCAGCTAATTATAAATGCGTGCTCCTTTAATTTCGTGAGTTACTATTAAATTTATATTGTTCAAAATATTACGTTATTGCATCCAAAAGCAATTTGCATTTTTCTGAAAAATTATTTCGCAGCAAGTGTTCACTTTTATTATTATCACAAGCATGAATATCCATCAATGAATATTTCTTTCAACTTGAAAATGAAACGAATTGAAGATAAGCCTCGTTTTGCTCGATAAAATCGAATGAAAATTGTTAATCATATGAACGTAATATGTGGGTCGTTGGCGATGTATAATTTAAACTGTTTTTTAGCATTTCGTTTTTATATGCCGCAAACACTGTCATGGCGATTACTGTAAGAGGTCAAGTATAGCGGATGCTCGAGGATTTTTCGCGGAGGGGATGCGTGTACGCGGGGCATGCAGGTGATATCCTTTGACCTTACCGGTACTCTAATGCGGGCTCGAGTTTGGCTTCAAACTCGTAACTGTAGATAGATTTCAACGTATTTATACCTTGCACAACGGTTAAAACCGTTGCTTTCAGACGCCAATGACTCATCTACACTTTTTTTTCACGTTGACAAATATTTTTTAAATAGATACGGAGAAATGAATTACATTTTCAAAAGGTTATTCAGAATATATTTTACTTAAAACCAAAATTCAGCATCTGTAAGACAATGACTCGTACCCAATGATCCTTGTACAGGTAACACTGCTATTGTAGCAAATCAGTTACAAGCAGGATAAGAGCAACGTTTCAATAAATCGAACCACGTTCGATTCGAACAAGCGTTCTTATCTTAAACACACATTACTTGCCACCTGAGGGGAACCACCTACTACGTACACACATCAATAAACAGCTGCCTCATTCCCTCCACAGACTATCGTCCAAAATTTCATTTCACATTTCCAGTTTTATTTTGTCGTGATAAAAAACGAACAAAAATAAAAGTAACGCGAGATTGAAAGTGACGTCGCGCTCTCAAAGTGACTTTTCATTCAACTCTTCAATCATCTGTCTGTGTTTTCAGCAACGTTAACAGCTATGAAAATTGAACTGTTCTGCGAATCGATAGGAAAAGAAGGACGAAGAGGGAGGTAAAAAAGGAGAGAATCCTGGACGTAGACGATGAAACGATGCAAAGGGATACGATGTAGCAAGGTACGGCACGGTACGGCACGGTACGTTCACCAATGACCGAGTGGCACGGATCTTCTTCCATCCTTTCCTCTCTTCTCTCATCTCCGCGTCGTGCAAACACTCTGTACCCGCAAGCGTACCGCTTTCTGTACGTGTATGCATCTCTGTATACATGTGGAAGTGTGTACGACCATGTGTACTTACTTAGAACCACCGCGAACCTATTCCCCTTCGAATGCAAGGCTTGAATATTTCTAGCGGCTCTCTTTGCCGATATTAATAGTCCTTACTTTGAGCGTGATATCAGACTTCTTACCGATGAATGATTTTCACAAGCCAGCCAGGAGTCATCATCGGTGTCTTTAATTTCATGCTGTTTCTGCCTAATCGATGGAATTCGTCGTTCATTTACGAATGTCGGCGACTTTCCATTCGACAATGTGTAGTGGCTTGTGCTACTAAGTTCCCAATATACTACCATTAGCGGCTTGGCGCAGTGTACACTGTCTTATAAAGTTAGTAAATTGAAAATTATCTATTAATATTATTTATTTAAACATTTGTTGGTAGTGTATTGAAAATAAATACATGCATAGGTATCATTGCTTGAATTAATATTGATAATCAATAAAATACAAAATTTTTAGTGATAACGGATAATTAATAAAATAAATATTGGTATTAAAGTTCAGATAATTTCAATTGTATGTTTTTTTTTTTTTAATAAACTAAATTTATTTAATATTAAAAATTTATTTAATATTAAATCTAAAATAAAATATAATGTCAACGAAATAATCATAATTACAAGTAATGTAATCAAATTATGAAATTATCTGAATACAATGAATAATAAATGATAATATTTTCAGAAGCTCGGACGCTTCTTTTATCTATCTGTTTCACAAGTTGTGAGTTAAACAATGAAATTTTACGCAGAATAGAATATAGCGATTCCTTTTGAATTGCTTAGAATTTTCTGATTGACAAACAAGTCTCTGTACACTTTTCGGACAGTAATTACATTTTTTTCATCTTATCCAAACGAAAAGATTAGAATCAGAATGTCAGATGTGACAGTCGATTAAAGAATCCTTAACTATGCGTATGTGCTTCACGTCGGTGGAGGATAAAGATTTTCCCCGGAATGTGAAATCAGTGAAAATCATGGAACAGAAGGAAAGTAGAGACACGGTGATAGAGCGGTTGATAAGAGAAGAGGAACTGATAATAAATAATCAGAAAAGAAAGGATGCAAATAAGTTGAATCGACGTTGGCTTCGCGGGGAGCCTCAGCCGCGGAAATCAAACGGAATTCCACTTGCATTGCGTTACGCTGCATTCTCCGCGATCGGTGGCTCCTTGTACTTTCTAATTACGCGTTGGTTTCTCATTCGTCGTGAAGGTGCCTCGTAACGGACGAGCCGGCGCGATAACACGGGCCGATGATTTTTTCGTAACAGCTCGGCCGATTATTTCGGAACGTGAATTTCACCTGGTGAATTTTTACCATCGATTCAGACCGCGACACCGCCACGCTCGCTTCCTACCAGGAACAGTGAATCATTGAGTTAAACGTCGTATCAGCCGGTGATGTTAATTTGCCGCTCGATAGCTTGTGAGTCAAGCACTTACTATGTTTAATGCGACGCAGTAATTGCAGACTTCGGTTAGATCACATTGGAAAATTCGAGTTTCGCATCATCGGGGAAAGAAAAGAGCTTGGATTCGTACTTAGATATCTTTCCTCTTAACCTTGATAACTATGATAATTGAATGTGAAATTTTTGATTTTTATGTAAAGTAATCTGACGTAGAGAACTTGGAAAATTCATCACTGTACGCTTCTATTGTTCATAATTAATAGAATTCACAATTCGTTCATTTATTCATTTATAATAATTATAAAAAAAAATTATTATAATATATAATATAATATATAAATATTCTATAAATTATTATAATATATAATATTATATTTATAATATACATTATAATAATAATAAATATTTATAATATACATAATTATTATAATATATAATGTTATATATTGTATATAATATAATATTATAAATATAATATTTATAATATACATAATTATTATAATATGTAATATTATATAATGTTATAATATTGTATATAATATAATATTATAAATATAATATTTATAATATACATAATTATTGTAATATATAATATTATATAATGTTATAATATTGTATATAATATAATATAATATTTATATTTGTACAATATGTATATAATAACAAAAATTAATTACAAATCCGAAATTATTTTTATTATTAAATTAATAAATAAGAGTAATTAAGAGCCTTAATAACGAAAATTGATAATTAAAGATAAATAACTCAACTTGCTGTATCGCAAATAAATTCCAGACAAACTTCATCCAATGTTCGGCGTTCCGTCAATTAAAATTCAGCAATTCCGAGCGTGCGTCTTCCAAGGAAGCGAATCGTCAGTGGCAGGACTATTCTATTATATAGGCTCTGCCATTTTCCATCGCCGCGCAGGCACACAACGTCCTACGAAAACGTCTTCAACAGCCATTGTGGCATAACGCTTTGCAAGCCGCTTTAACGAGTGAAATTGCATGAGATGGTGGCTGCTGGGTTATGTTCCAGGCATAGAGAATCCTACTGGCGATGAAGCAGGAATTGCAACGCGGTTGCACACCGTGTTCGCCCACCTTGAAAATAGGAGAAGAAAGAGAGAACACACCGACGCATCACGTGCATTCATCGGCTCCTACGAATTAATCCTATTATAGCGAAAAGCCTCACCTTCGTCGGCCACATCATCATCGGCGTCGCCGTCATCTGACATCGTCATCGTCGTGTTCCATCGTTCGATCCCACACCGCGTGCGAAGGCGAGCCTTTTACGTAATGGACCGGAGGTTCCGTTTGTTTATGTAATCAGATGATCCCCCTCCTCCAGATACTCGCGG